ATACATACATACATACATACATACATACATATATTTTTATTTATTTATTTATTTATTTATGTAAGCTTAAAATATTGATTTATTTAATGCCTCCAACCTCATGAAAAGCTTCATCCTGATATTGAGGACATTTATTTTATGCTAGTTGTCTTCATTCAGATGAACTATTTAAAGTTTATTTTTTATTTTAAATAAAATATATATTTATATTTCTGATTCTTAGTTTTTCAATAAAAAAATTATATTTATAAGGTTGTATTAATCTTATACAGCTGGGACAGATTTAAATAAGCACAAAGCTTGGGATTCAGGAGGATAAAAATGGTGGTACACAGCCCCCTGTGGCCACCCCCACTTGTTGTGCCCCTGGTGACTGACAGGTGATGTTCCACAATGAAATGATGATGAGCTGGAGCACTACACATCTCTGTTAGATCTAGCTGGGACAAGACTTCAGATTCATCTTCTGAGTTATTAGTAAGCACCACAGATCAGATTTGTTGTCAGGCTGAACTTGGGAGAAGTTTTCTGATGGAAGCCGCTCGGCCCCGTTAGAGCCGCTGCACTGAGCATSTCTCTGCTGGATGCCAGAAACAAACGGAGATTTAATTTATGCGGCACTAATAAGGACAAGGCATATCTTATTTTGTGAATGTTTAGTTTTTAATAAGCACCACTGTTTGTTTTAGTAGCCCGCCTGGGGTTATTGGGACTAGTTTTTCTGATCTCCGCTCTTCATCGTCAGTAGCTGGCGCCCTGCAGCGCAAATCAGCTGTGTGGTATGATCGGCCTGACCCGTACTGAAGAGAGGTAGAGAAGTCATTTGACATGGCATCATGTGGAGCACAATGGATCCAGCAAAACATCAGTCGCTTTGATGTCGCGCTCACCCTGCATTGCGCGCAGGAGGCCAGTGGTTCATTCCAGGTTCACTTCAGCCCATGAGCCGGTTCATGGACTGAACCACCGGCCCTCTGACCTGCATCTGGGCCGGTGGTTCAGCTYGTGGGCCAGTGGTTCAGGGACTGGAGTGAACCGTACCGGCCCACTAAATCACCRGCCCACCGGGGAGTTCCCCGGTAGCCCCGTATGCCAGTCCGCCCCYGCACTACAGTCATTCACCCATTCACACACTGATGATGGTAAGCTACATTGTAGCTAGGGCTGTGTGTTGKAAATAATTTGGCAATACAATACACATTAACCCCAGGGGTTGCGATACGATTTATCATGATRTATTGCAATACTGTAAGCATGGCAAAATGTTGCCATTTTCTCCCCAAAATTCTAATAAAAGTTTTTTTTTTGAGTTTTGTGTTTACATTCAGGTTTGACCAAAACATCTACAATTCTATAATTTCTGGACATTTGATTTTTGTTTAAACTCTGACATGAAAATGTGTGGAAGATTAGCATTTCTTTTTCAAGAAATGCAGTTTATTTTCCACTTTAGACCAGTTTGCTTAGATATACCAATACAGTAGGTTTAGCTGTGATGTGGCATACATTTAGCTAAAAAGTAAGGTGTTCAAATATTTTGTTCTTTGTCCTTACGACAAGTTACCAAACCTACAAACGTTTGTGTATTCATGGGTACATTTAGAGTGCATGGAATTGGAGGGGTTAGCCTGGAATTAACAGCCTTAAAAGTAAAAAATGTTGAAAGAAAGAGAATGTGTCACAGAAAACAGTGTGGTGACAGAGAGCTAAAGCGCACCCCC